CAATGTGAGCATCTTTGCTACTTGCAAATGTGACACAATTGATTGCTGGCAGGCAAACTCTTCTTGCATTTTCATGATTTCCACTTGATCACTTGGATGCTACTTGTTCAAATGATTCAATGGATTTCTTGAATTGCCTTTTTTGTTGACATAGCACGCATAACAGCTTCCTCCTCCACATCGCCAGGGAAGAACTTTACTTGTCGAAATAGCTTCATCTTTGGAAGTCATGACTGCGAATCTCCTGCGCGTTTCAATGTACATTTTGTCAATTTCTGTGCGGCGTGGTCGAAAATTAGGCGAGTTGTGGTACCGATCTGCGGACCGATGGTTGGGGACCACTGCTAATGAGGTCGTGGGCATGCTGGAGCCTATCCCAACTGTCTTCGGTACAGTGTTCAATAAACTTGACATGCATGTTTTTGGAATGTAGGATGAAACCAGAGTACATGGAGAAAACATGCAAACTCCACAAAGGAAGGCCACTGACCGGAATCGAACCCATGAAAAGAAAACATTTTACAAGAGTAACATCATACAATTGCATTCATTTAGAAACAGTTTCGACAACTTTACACACAAAACTATCTATTTATATTTAAAATGCTTCTCCTCCTGCTTCTCATTCCCAAAATGCCAATCATCCGTTTTTTCGGATTCGTAGTGGTACTGGGAATGCCCACAAATCGCTTCTGTCGGAACTTACCCCATCAGTGCTTCAAATTTACTGTCAGTCGTCATTCCACCAATGAAAACGGCAGTCCACCAGTGATGGACTGACAGACCGGTACTAATGGACAGGTGTAAATTCCCACCACTGTAATTGACGCTCATTAAAACGCATTGGGGGTGCTGACAAAAACATTCAATACATGGAAAAGGGGGGAGACCCAACAACCCGCGCCCCCCCCCCCAAAAACCCTAATTTTTTTAAAAGTTTAGGGGAAAACATGCATATGCTGAGAAAATTTGGATTGTTAAAACTGGCAGCACAGGACATCCTTGGGGTGAGCAGGATTGTTTGCAGTAATATCTTATTTTACGGACACAATCATTTTATAATATATACACACACACACACACACACACACACACACACACACACACACACAAGTTGAATTTGAAATATAGAAGAGGGAGTGTGCTGTCATGTTTGTTTGTTGAAGTTGAAAAGTCCTGTACCTTTCAAATAGCCTAACATTCACCAATGGGCATGTGCATTGTGGTGTGTCTTGTGAAAAGCCCTGTACCTTTCAAATAGCCTAA